CCACAAAAACTCAATGGGGACCAGTTCTCGCTTGCCAATTCTAGTATTCTGATACAAAATCTTGTACCCTATACCATAAAATTTTACAAACCGAAATTCTTTGGTCAGTATCTCTAAAGTACTTTTTTCAGCAAAACCGAGCGTTCCGAATTTTTCACACAAAGTGAAGTGCCCGAGAAATTACTCTATCATGCCAGCGGCAAGGAGATTTTCTCAGAAGAACAACCATATGTAAGATTCCAATGATATCATTGTGTATATAAATTACCATGTGTTTGTCTAGGTACTTCCCATAACAAAGTATCCTGTGGAAGAAGTGAATGAGAAAAGCAAACAGTTCTGTGCACAGCATTTGCAAAACAGCATGGGAATGTGCAGGGTTATAAGGGTAAGAGATTTTATCGTCTTCACAAATCGATCAAGTAATAGAAGATCAGTATCTGAAAAAGGCACGTAAAAGAAAGGAAAGGGAAAGGGAAAAGCAAGCGGACCATTCAAAAGAAGAGAGACAAATAAATTTCATCTTTGCAAGAGAAAGAAAAAAACCTACAAACCTATACTAAAACTTCACTATGTACTTTATGAAAATATACGATCAGTATTTTCTACATCTTGTTATATCTAAGAGGTTAGTTTCTTCCTTCCCTGTTTCTATAGGGCTTTCCCCTTCCAACCCACCCATTCCACTGTTGTAACATGAGGCTTTTTTCACAAATTCTGGCAGCCTATAACAAAACATGGTTTTTCATATATGTGATAAACAGTTGCGACCAAAAACTTTGAATTGTCAATTTTCAAGAACTTTTTCTTTTGCAAGCGCCGATTCATGAAATTGACAACTTTGTCAGCTTTAATTGACAGCGACACGACCACTTCAGCTGTCACTCGTCTGTTGTCTTCCATCAGTTGAAGAAAGACTAGCAAAAAATATCTTGTTAGGTTTTACGCAAAAAAGTTTTGCTGATGAAATCAGATTTTTCACTTTTTATGTTGTTTTGTTTTGCTTTCTTGTGATGCTCTAATAATACGATGTTGTAAAATCTTTGTAGCATATGTTTTGGTTGTAATGATTGACGTCACAGCATGAAAATACCCACGCATAGTTGTCGATAAGTTTAGCTAGCAAGTTTCTTATAGGGAGAACGAAGGCATGGTAGTAAAATGGGGCAGGAAGCAGCAGAAAATTTTTCTGATAGTTTTATTAGTTCAAGAAATCTGTCACCTTCAAAGGGTCATTCACCGTCGTATGATCATAATTTCCTACCTTCAAAGAAAATTTTCTCTACGTGGAGAAAGAATTCACTTTTACAACAGCGCGGGCTCTCTTC